AATTTGAAGGAGCAAGGGGATTAACTAGAAGGAAAAAATTCAGGTTCTATACTCAGTGAGGGAAAGAGAACGTCTTTTCTTTGGCTCTGTTCATTTTGTTGCCAGAGAAGGACACAATGCTCCACCTTCAGTTCCTTGCATCAAAATGATCTTGTCAGATGTTTATGTCTACACTGTTGATCACTGTAGTATCCTCTATTCCAGTGGTTCTTAACCTTTGTTACTCGGATGCTTTTGAACTGCAAATCCCAGAAACCCCAGTCAGGACAGCTGGTGGTGAAGGCTTCTGGGAGTTGGAGTCCAAAACTCCTGAGTAACCCAAGGTTAAGAACCAGTGCTCTGTTCCACCTTAAGACAAGAGGCTAGCTCAGGGGATGCAGCGCAGCCCATGCTGCATTCAGCACTCCCCTCTGGTACTTTCTTTTCTCTCCCATTTGCCACCTGAAGCAACAACCTCACTTTCCTAACCTGAGCATGAATATGTAGAATGCACTTCCCACATACAATTCTCAGTAAGGTTTCCAAGCTTCCACTTTAGGCTCATGTTATTGTGATCCCCATGGAGGAGGAGGATGAAAAGCAAAATGATTCATTGGATTCCTGGCTCACTGAATCAAGTACTGCTATGCTCCTACATTACTATGCAACAGTACTACGGCTGGTAGGTCTCAGGACACCAGATGAAGTCTCGGGGGATTATTATGCTTCTCCAAATCTACAGGCTAGGAGATAAATGTCTGGGCAAGCAACACTGCAGGAGGAGAACGTTTGGTTTTTGTGTATGAGGTGCCTTTGCAGCCTGTCACCATGACCAACCATTCCCAGCTGGTGCCAGAGCTCACTGACTTGACAGAAAGGTTTTGCTTGTGTGTTGTTTACTTCCATCCCAAACTCTGCATGCCTCTGGTACATTAGAGAGAACCCACTCCCTGTGATAACACAAGGGCCCACCCCCTGGTCTCAGGTCCTGGCCTTGAATTCTCAAGGAGTGAGATACTACTCACCTGCCAACTCTGTACAGCAGTATATAATAGCACCTTTCACACAAAGAATTTCCCTGCTGGATTAGATCAGTAGCCAAGCCCAGGACCTGACATTCGGCAGCAGTCAAGTACTATGACATAACTGCATTGCTGTTTAAAGATCCAGACATTAACTACGGCAAGAAAGTCTGATGTTGAGATAGGGAGAAACGTAATGGATGAATGCTAAAGGGACTTCCAAGAACCTATCGAGCTAGCTCCATCCCCCCAATCAGTTGTTTCCAACATTGGTTAACTCAGATGTTCCTGGACTCCAACTCTCAGAAATCCCCACCAGTGCAGCTAGTGGTGAAGAATTCTGGGAGTTGCAATCTAAGAACACCTGGGTTACCCAAGTTTGGGAACCACTGCTCTAGATCAAGAGTGGCCCCAGCTGTTTCTGCAAAACCCATTACCCACCTGCTGCCACTGCTAAAAGAAGTGTGGGGTGGGGCTTACACTTGGCAGTGACACAAAAACGGCACATTTTATTCCCTCCTACTCCATTCTTCACATGGTTCTATGATGTGGATGTTCATGGTGTAGCTCTCAAACAGATATATATGGCCATTTGCACATATGTAGAGTAAACCAGGGGTGGGCATTAGGTATCATTCATTGTGCTGGCTGAGACTAGCAGGGCTCGCATTCCAGCAACATTTGGAGAGCTACCAAGTTGCCTGCCCTGCCCTGCAATGATGCTGATCATACTTCAACTAGTAGATGTGGCCAACACACATCTTTGTCTAATTTGCAAGGCTAGCTGAACATATTTTCAGAAGCCCCTTCATATATTTAGTTCACAGGTCTCCCTTGCCTGGCCCACCTCCTTGTATATATTTGAACAACAATGACTACACCACTTCCTATCAATTAGTTTACTGAAGACAAATACAAATGCCAAAACACTGACATTAAAAAACTGTGGTTTTAAGTGGGCCGATTGCTGGGATTTTTTGTTTAACAAAAGAAAAAATAGATTAATACATGAAAAGAACAATGATAATGCAACACCTATTCAGAAAGAATCTCCACAGAGTTCTGTAGGATTTACTTCAGTGGAAATGTGTATAGGATTGCACTGTACATGTTAACCAATGCAGCAGAACGTTACTATGGGCAATGATAAACCACTGTGTACATATTATGGCATAATGACATAATCCAACATTCCATTCTTGTTTCTTGAATTTAATTCTGGGTAGATCAGACAGAAGCCAAGATTTCATTCTTAATGTTTCTGAATCACATTTTAAAGCATGCTGAGCATGATGGGGAGGGGCTTTTATAAAGGGACAGATTAGTGGAAGATAAATATCATCTTGCTTTCCATGTTTTCAGAAATCCAAAACGTTGGGTTTTTTTGTCCTAGCACTGGCTAGTCTGGCCAGGAAACTCTGAGAACTAGAATCCAAAAAAACAACTTTTCCTATCTTTGATTATTTTCATTAAACCCATGCTCTCTTTCTTGCAGTCATATCGACAGAAAGCGGAACAGACTATCAGCAGCAAGTCTGAATTCTGCAAGCATGCACACATTGAAGCCAGTCAGAAGTAGCTTTCATTGTGTGGCGGTGGAACACAAAAGACACTCTGTTCTTAAAGCTCAGAAGGAAAGCAGAAAGCTAGACCGCCCCCCCCCCCCCCCAAAGTCAAATGCTGAAACTTGGTTCACAAAGGCTTGATCTAAGCTATGGAAAATAATTAGGGATTTCAAAAGCGTAAAGTCTGCTCATTGCATTTGCCTGATAAATTCCAGCAAAACCCTTCCTATACCCTTAAGTCACCCATCTTCCCTATGATCTTAACCTCAGTTATTTAAACTCTATTATTTTCTAAATGCTTTATAGCAGAGAGCTGGGAAACAGCATGAATATCCTGCTGCTGACTGTATGAACTTTGGATTAATGTAATATTTTAAGGGACCCACCTCTGTGAAAATAAAGCAAGGGAAGGAGCTGCCTGGAGTGAAGCCTCTAAGGATGTTCCACTAGTGGAAAACCACCCAGTTAAACAAAAATTGCATAGGAAAGTCATTTGAGGATTGGATTTTATGTAACCCACCTTCATACCATCACCAGAAGCTGAACAATGAGAACCTGTCCTTAGCTGATCTGCTAACAAGTAGCATTAGAAACCTGGAATTATTGTGAGTGTTGTATTTTTTCCTCTATTAGATAGCAGAGCTTTCACATGAGATTATTTTATTAGAACAACATTGCTTGAGGCATTTCTTTTAAGACTTTAATTGCACTCCTAAAATTGTATTTGTACGCCTCTGCATACATCTGCATCCAGCTGGAATTTACCATAAAAGGTGTTTAAAATACATGGGAGGACTAGGGGGGAAAATCAGCCTAAATTATTACAAGAACAGTATAGTTTTTTTTAAAAAAAACAGAGCAAGTTATAATGAACTAAAAATCTATAACAATAAATAATAATAAATACGTAGATTTTCTGGAATGGTGAAAAGGACTTTTATTTTAACATTCTGAATTAATCTATTTTATACTAAGCCATCTTTATTTTAAAGCATGCAATAACACCAAACATATACTTTTCCTGCAAAAAATTGAGTTACCAAAATGTCTGTCCAAAACAGGTTGTCCTGGTGAATCTCATTCTACACTCATTTGGAAAAGCAAATTCACCAACAAAGCACCTCTACTGTTCCTTTAGTGGACTAGACCCCCAAAATAAGCTTACATTGTTTAATCATATTTCTCCTCCTTTTAGCACATTTACAATGCAAAACGTCCACCCAAAAATAAACACAATTTTTTTTCAGTGAGGCTCACTCCCAGGTAAATGTGTATAAACTTGTAGCCTTAAGCATATTTTTCATCAGGAAAAATTATACAAAGACTCAGAAACCAACAACCCAGACAGCATAATAATTACATTAAATGTAATCATCATTGTGGTGGATTCAGAGCTGACTGCTATCTCCAGAAACTTGCTTAGAAGTTACTCTTTTTCTCACTCGCTCACTCTCTTTCTCTGGAATACTTCATGTAAGGAAACAAACATAATCCCAGAACAAGATTCAACAACATTTTTTTTAAAAAAAATCCATACATTATTGGGGGTGGTAATCGCCACTCCCTCCTCCTTTTCTCAAAACCGTCCAACTACAAGGAACATGACATCATTTTTCAGAGCCTGGGAATCCAAACACTACAGAAAAGAGAAGAAAAAAGAAGGAATAGAGGGGGTGGGGGAGGAAAGTAAAGTTTTCATTACCTGATACTTGAAGGGCATTCTGTTCCACGCCATTCTCAATTTTGTATTTCCCAGACAAAAAACGTGGCCCTATGAGCTGAGGCACAGGGAAAAACTAGTGGGGCTTCAAGCGCCTAATACCTGCTGTGCTTCCCACAACTCCTTCAGATGACCTTTCGCAGCGCAGATTTCAGTCCAAATGATTGCAGAGAGAGTACACAGACAGGCTGGGTCAGTTGTCATGGAGATCACTCTCACCCTTTCTCTCTCACACACAAGCCATCCGTCTCTCCACGAGCACACACAGAAACACAATTCTGGAAGTCATCCATAAAACCACATGCCTTTTCATCCCATTCCTCCCCTCCCTTTTCCTTCTACTTCAAGCTTTCTGCCTCTTCTCCTCCATAGCTCCCAAGCTATCTAGACCAAGAAAAAGCACTTTTGGTCTGCCTGTAAACTGATTCCTGCAGCTAGCAGGGAAAGATAACGCCTTTTTAGCAGATGACGTCATGCTTGAGGTACTTTCCAGTTAGGAAGGGTGCAGGAACAGGTTGACTCACAAAACCACATTATCTAGTTTTACATATAGTGTCAACTATATATTGTATGTGTGTTTACTCCTGCTGTGTATATGAAGAGAGGAAGGCTGGGAATTATTTGACACTACAGATACCATATCCCTAGAGATCTATATGAAATACAATAGTAAGGGTTAGAGTGCTGGAAAAGTACTCTTGAGACATGACTTACCTAATGGTTGTCTAAAAGAGGGCTTGGCAAAATGCTTACTTTCTGCAGAATTTCCTTCCTACCAAGCAGGGTATGCTGTATTCCGTCATCCTTCTGTAGAAATGAAAAGAAAAGAAAAGAAAAGAAAGTCAGGAATGAGCTGGGATTGTGAAATGAGACAGAACCATTGGCAACAAAAATGTCTTGCTTCTAGGGCATATCACTCATTACCATAGAAATTTTACCCACATTCCACAAAGTTAACCATCTGTTCACCTCGCCTGTATCTGGTTCTTTTTTGGCATTTGTGCAATTAAGTGCAGGGCTTAGAAAGTTACTGTTTGGGGATTATATATCCCAGAATCCTCCAACCAACTTCTAATTGATTCAACAAAATGACTGTGATCTGGATAGGCATAAAAGAGGTAGAAGGTTGTCAGTGTCTTTCACTGGGGAGACTTCATTAGAAATAAACTGAGTTGTATACAGAGAGCAAGATGTGAAATTTGTAAATGAATCCCAGGATTTTAAAACCTTACCATCATGAATGCAACTTTCCATCTCATGTCTTTTTGCATTTCACATATTTGACACAATCACTAAGTGGATGAGAAACGTGTAAGCGTATCCAAAGGCTTTTGGTGTAATTGGTGTGACTAGCTGGGACTCACAATTGGATTTAGTTTGTATAATTCACTGTATTAAAAGTTACTACCAAAAAAATGACATCTGAAACATGTCAGTTTCAAGTTTATGAAATACAGCTATATTTATTTATTTATTGAATAAAATAGCTAAGGAAACATGTTTCTAGTGGTGAACACACCTGTACCACAAATGCTAGAAGGCACAAAACATTCCCAGCAGTCAACAGGAGACTAAATTCATTTATATTTATTCTGGTCATGTATGAGAATTATTCTAACAATTTTTAAAAATAAAATTAGTTCTTGATACCCTCTAGATTGTATAAACTGATGCTATTTCCTCTTCCACAACATGTTCCAAGGGATGCCCATTTCCATGACTCCTGACAACCTCGAAAGAAAATATTCACTCATCTATCTATACATATATACAGAGAGAGAGAGAGAAAGACTTTTTGACTCTTACTGAATTCCGTTGGAAATTCAATACGAATTTAAATGACAGCAGAAGCAAGCTTGACCTTTTAAACTTTCAAGGCAGGGGCTTGGAGACGACCTTCTATGACAAGTTAATTGAAGACAATCAGTGATAGTTTTAAAAGCTCCAAATAAAGCCTCAGAAATCTGTGCAATTCTTGTTTGTTCTACAGGTACAACATTCAGAACACTCCCCCTGGTGGATATGAGAACACAATGCAGCAACCAAGTTCTAAAAGGTCTTTTCTTGGTACACACCTTTTGATCACAACCACCCAAACTTTTCATATACATGTCAGCATTTTCAACAAGTGCAGATTATTACATCCACTGTCAAATTTCTTATCTGTACCTCTTTAATATGGATTCTTTCCAGTAAACTGTAATTGAAGTCCCAGGTTCTGATCAGAGTCTTTCCATTTAAATTTCTTCCAAAGAACTGCCAATGTTATTAAAACACTGGGAGGCAGTGTGATCAAGTGGCTATAGTGTCAGACTAGAGTTCAGGAGAACTAGCTTCAAATTCTTCTTCAGCCATGAAAACTCATGGGTGTGGGGCGGGGGATTGGCAATAATAAACCATTCCTTGAACATACCTCAAAAACCAGAAGCAGTTGGATGATATGTCCCACACATATACACATTAAATCATCACTTTTTCCAACCTAATGAGAAACCCATTTTGTTTCTAAAATATTTCCATTAGCAATTCAAGCTAACTGTACAAGCCTTGGGTCAAATATCGTGCTGCAAAACCAAGGGAAAGCAGATTAATCTTGGGATTCTAATGCTTAATAATAATTATGTGCTGTCAAGTAAATTCTGACTTATGGCCACCCTTTTTCAGGGATTTCCAGGTAGAGAATACTCAGAAGTTGTTTATTATTCCCTTCATCTGTGGGTGTCCTGGGACTGTGCAGCTTGCCCAAGGCTACGCAGGCTGGCTCTACTCACGAGGCACAGTGGGGAATCAAACTCCCAATCTCTGGCTTTGCAGTGAGATACCTCAATCACTGAGCTATGCCTACCATGCATTTTTAAAACTGACCAACTAGATAGAATTTTTCATTGAAAGTCAATCCAAGGATCTTTTAAATGAATTGATAAATACATGGCATACAAATTATTATTTGCTCTGGCTCAAAAGGAAGAAATTACTCCAGAAGTACCTCTGTCTCAAAACACTACAATACCTGTTGGATTCCTCCTTAATACCTCCATTCTAGTACTTGTAGACTGCTGCTAAGGCTGGTTGGGTGTTACCAAGTTGGCAGAAAACAGCCTGCCTGCCTGCCTGCCTGCCTGCCTGCCTGCCTTCCAGTGTCTTCCTGTGTTTTGTAAAATGTTCCTAAAATGTGGTAGTAGGAAGAAGGACAAAGACATACAAAGCACCATGCCCTGGTCTCTTCTGACAATACTGTCCACTCTTTCCAGGGTAACCAACTGGCACTTTTAGGTTGGGGACCATCCTGCAAGGGTAAGGCTAGCTCTGCCCTGCCCGAGGCCAATACAAATCAGTATAGCATGGCATGTATGTGTACTCTTCTCAAGATTCTGGCCCATGTGACAAGCCTACCCACTTCAGATCTGCCCTTTTGTGTGGGCAAAATAAGGTGGATGAGCTTGGCTTCTCTCACACTCTCTGTCTTCACACACAGATGACACTCAAATGCTGCACAACCAATGAAGGCTTACTATATCACACATATCTTAGATGGATAGAGGAGAAGATAAGAACCTAAGAAAAGCCCTGCTGGATCAGGTCAAGGGCCCATCTACTCCAGCTTCCTGTATCTCACAGTGGCCCCACCAGATGCCTCTGGGAGCATACGAGACAACTGGAGACCTGTCTCCTGATACCCCTCCCCTGCATCTGGCATTTGGAGGTACCTTCCTTTAAAACCCAGAGATTGTACATACCCATCATGGCTTGTAACCTGCGATGGACTTTTTCTCCAGGAATCTGTCCAATCCCCTCTTAAAGGCATCTAGGCCAGATGCTATCACCACATCCTCTGGCAAGGAGTTCCACAGGCCAACAACCTGCTTGGTAAAGAAATCTTTTCTTTTGTCTGTTCTCACTCTCCCAGCTTCCCTCTATCCAATTTATCCATCCCCTGCATAATTTTATACATCTCAATTATGTCCCCCCCCGGCACCTTTTCTCTAGACTAAAGAGCCCCAAATGCTGTAGCCTTTCTTCACAAGCGAAGTGCCCCGGCCCAGTCATCATTTTAGTCGCTCTCTTCTGCACCTTTTCGAGTTCCACTGTGTCTTTTGTGAGGTGCCTTACCAGCGTTTTGTATAATGGCAGTATAATGTTGGCTGTTTTATTTTCAATCCCCTTTTTAATGATACCTAGCATGGAACTGGCCTTCTTTATTGTCATCACACACTGGGTTGACACTTTCATCGAGCTGTCCACCAGCACACCAAGATCTCTCTCCTGATCCGTCACAGACAGCTCAGAACCCATTAGCTTAATAACTAAAGTTTTGAGGTTTTACCCCAATGTACATTACTTTACATTTTCTTATATTGAAACGCATTTGCCATTTTGCCACCCGCTCTCCCAGTTTGGAGAGATCTTTCTGGAGCTCTTCAGAATCCCTTCTGGTGTTCACCATCCAGAAAAGTTTCGTGTCATCTGCAAGCTTGGCCACCTCACTGCTTATCCCTGTCTCCAGGTCATTTATGAACAGGTTGAAGGGCATCGATCCCAGGACAGATCCCTGGGGCACACCACAGAGGCTCCTTGTTACACCCTCTGCACATGAAGAGTGACAACAGGGGGATGGGGGTATGAAGCTAGTATTCTCATCCCTAAGGCCCCTCCTCATATGTAAATCTAAAATCCTTTTTCAATACTTGAAGAAGTCCAAAATCAATCCTGAATAGGGATTCTGTTCCCTGCTCCAGAAATATTGCATGCAGTTTTACAGGATCAACACTCTGGGAAAGTTGTCCTGATGTGTTATATTACAACCAAGCATGGCAAAATAGAATACAGAAGAATAATGATGGAGTAAAGAGTAAGTGATACTGGGTATAGGGTCTTAGATGTCATAGACTGTAGAAACGCAGGCCATGCAGATAACAGGTACTCATAGTGAACTATCATTGCAAAGAGCAGGGCACTGAACCATCGTTTTATTATTTCCTCCTCTAGATGCACTATGGAAATGCAGGGGTTGAGAGACCAGCCTGTTTGTTTACACTGAGTGATCTTACCCATGAGCAGTGTGGTCACTTTGAACTGAAAAAGCAAGACAAAGTATCCGCTTTTTTGGTGATTCATTTTGATATTCAACTATAAATGAGAGGTGGGAAATTTGCACAACCTGTTGCGACAGAATAGATTATAATCTTCAAAAGCTCATTAGACAGCAGGCACTAGCGGGAAAATATCTGGCTGATATTGTTGCTTTTCTATAAAACCATCTCCTTTATATGGAATTCTTCAGTATTACATTCTGCCTCAAGCCAAGCACTAGAAATGTGCAGGTTTATGTTTTTTGGAGTAAAACTCCTGGAATTCCCCAGGCAGCTATCTGTCCAAAACACAAATCTGCACAGCTCTAGTCTACCTTCGTGTGGACTGCAAGGATCCTGCAACGGGATTGTCTATGCCTGACATTAAACAGCAGGGAATTCAAGAAACTGTTTCCTCTGTAATGGTAGTCTAGTTTAAACAGATTAATGAGACTCTAAGAGAACTTGGCAAACTCCATCTTGTCTTGCTAGTGGTCTGCTTTCAATAATTACATGCATCACATCTGGACTATTTTGGGGGAAGGGGACTATTTCCTCTTTTTCTACTCCCAATTTCCCCATCTTTGCCTGATGCAAAGTTCCAAGGAATTTAAAACCTTATCTTGCTTGCAGTGTTTTTTTTTTAATTATTATTTTTTTTTAGCAATTCAAGGTGAAAGTATTGCTCAACCCAGATTTCTGATTCCACGGCTGAACTTCATGGCTACATTTTCCAAT